GTGAAGAAATACATTTACAATAAGTGTTTAGAAAATATTCTTTATAAGAAATATATAGATCAGCATGACGCATGCTGAGATATGTCGCATTATTCATTCAAGCCCCATAAATTCGTTGCCAAAGTAAGATTTAGAGATCTGACACTTTAGGTAATAGTTCTCAGAAAGCTTTTAGAAGTACTTTTTAGACTTCGTGGGCTGTAATCATATGCTGTCGTTATTACTGTCAGTAAATAATAGAATGTGACTCGAGCCATGTCAGCCATGAGATAAGGTTTTTGCTACGTTCGACTTTCGAGTAAGCGTGGTTCGTGTGATACAGCGCANCTTCCGATTACAAAAGGTTTCATATGAATTCATTACGTAGAAACTAGCTAACAATAAGTGGAAGTATTCCTCTAATTTTACACTACACTTTTCGATATCTATTTTTCCAACACTATCGCTACATTGTTCTCACAACTTCCATTTCTATTTCCTTTGCATTAACAATACTCCATTTTCTTTAAGCTTATAGGGAAAATGTCAATCACACATATTAATTTTAAGACAGTGTTTTCACACACACGGTTGATTTTTAAATGAGCGATTGCACAATATAATGCATTTTTGTTTAATGCAACTTGAAAAAATTTTGTTAAGCTGTTGTGTCTCGAATTTTATGGTATTTTTAGCAATGTTTTCGTAAAGATGTTTTTAGAGAATTAGATAGAATTTTTTTGAACTACGTATACATTTTTTTATTTAGCTTCTAATTACTGGAAACTCTAGTGCGACACAATATAATATATAACATGTATAATATATAATATATAATATATTTATATAGCCATTTCTATAGAATATAGTATTTCAAATTTAGTATGTTCGGTGCAAACCGGATCTAATAGAAACTACCTTGAAAACATATCACACTTTCGACATTAATATTATATTAACGTCAAATTATAATATTATATTAATTATTATATCAATTATTTCTCAATTTAGCAAACAAATAGATATGATGTAGGTATGATGTGTATGTGTATGTAGGAAATTCTCATAAACACATATGTTTTGTATGCTATAGAAGTTTTGTTGTTTAAGTATATGCGTGTATAGGAGAGATTTAATTGCGCGATTGTCTACTTGCTCTTTTTGTGTGTATATCAAATGTTAGAGAGACTTGACATATTAATTAAATGTATCGCGCGAAAATATAATATTGTGAGAATATATATCCCACACAACAACATAGACTACTAACTAGACTATTAACTATTTTTAAAAAGTATTGGAAAAATCGCATTTGTACTCTACTTAACTAACTTAATTTTTTTTTTAAATCAATCTATGGAATTTATATTTTCTTTTTGAGAATAATTTAAATAAATGCGTGCAGTTTTTTTAACGATTATTTCACGTTTACTATTCTTTAAATGAACATCCTGTTTTAGTATATTTGTTTAAAAATCTAACCAAAGAACAAAATCTTTTATATATTTATTAAATAATCTTATATAAAAGCGCAAAAAAACGCAAGATTCCACCCTATATAAATTTTAATTAGATAGTAACACGCTACTTTACAGATTCGTTATGTAAATGGATTTATCGTGTTAAAACTACCCCTATTTTTATATTCTCGTTTATATCCAGCACACATAACACTAATGATAATTGAAATTAACAGAGAATATCATTTTATATCATGTTAGCGTCTAAATATAAGTTAAACACGGCTGGGATCAAATATAGCCTAACGTGACATAATTTATAGCGATATAACGTAATTTATATATAACTTGATTCTCTCTTCTCATTCTTATATTATAGAAAAGTGAAATAATAAAGAAAGAAATGTGTATTGCTTAGAGATTATAAAATGACATAAAGACAGAGAAAATATCCAGGGTGTCGTAATTTTAATTATCATCGAATTATTTCTATTGCCAATTTCCTTTTCATAAATAATCTTCCGTAATTAATTTTCTCCTGATTAGAATTTTAAATTATTATTAATTAACCAAGATGGATTAATTAGTTTGAACAGTTATTTGGAGTCTTATTTGTTTGATATATAGACTGATATATGGAGCATTCTTGACACATGGGGGAAATATCGGATATATTTAGCAATAAATCACGGATCGCTGGCACATTCCTCTCCCTTTCTTTTAAATAACTATAGAGAGTGTTTTAGACTGGAACACCAAAATAGTCTCCCTAAAATATCCATGTTTAGAAATAATAGACAAACATTCACCTACGATTAGCAAATAGATAACTAAGTAACCCTTTATGCTAAGACCCAGTTTAGAGATCTTTTATTCTTGGATAATATACGACAAAAAATATATAAAAAAGGAAGAAATAGGATGAACATAATGCCATGCCATCTAAAAAACGTAGCTAGGTCAATCCTTGTAACGTGCGCGCAAAAGTTTTTATGAGCGATTAACCAAAATTCTTTCCGGCTCGAATAAGATAGCGATGGCGGGTATCCTAACATTTAATGTATTGATCAACCATGGAGGAATAAATAGAGATAGAGCGAGGGGCGTCGTGAGCCTGATTAAACTTCATTCTCCGCTAATGGTTTATAAATAGGCAACTTTTTTTTTTCTTTGCCTTCCACGCGGTCACGACGGACGGGAGAAGTGCTCCTGGAACGAGCGTCCTTCCATTCCGCTGTCCTGCCTCCTCGCCTACACCGCCTGCCGACCTCGTCGACATTTTCCGATATTTCCCCGCCGATTTTCCCCCGACATGTGGCGCCGGCGTCGGCAACGTGTTTTCGCAGGAAATTGCGTATCGACACTTTTAATGGCGACTGTTATTTGATGCTCTCGAATGCAGATGCCATGTGCCCAATACTTGAAATCAAGGCGATGATTAGATTGTCGTATCTAGCATTAATTTAAGCGATTGGAAATAATGGATGTATAATAGTTATACTTTTATAGCTATCTCGTATAATAATTTTTACAAAAATTCACTCTCAAATCACAGAAAAAAATTTTTCCTTATTTTTGTCATGTAAATCATTCGCAAAATAATACACGCAAATTATGCAAATGTATCAAGAATACGCGTATCACATAAAATAAGTTTCAAATACTTTTTATGTTTTTGCAGAAAATATTATTTTCCTTTGAAGATGTTAAAACATTATAGCAATTACATGCTATGTCATTATACGATATTTAAAATATCGTGAAGTCAAAAAATTATCAAACAATATATTATTGTAATGTAAAAAAATAAATCTTTTTTCAATATACTTTAGTAAATATGTATTATTTAAAATATATATCTTATTATTCGATGGCGGATAATAAGTTATTATTCGTCAGCACTTCTATGTATAATGAACTATGAACTTTGAAATGTCACGGAACAGTGCACACGTGCATATAGAGATTCTTCTTTTCCGTCCCGCACGCGGACCCCGCAAATAGCCGTTCATAGGGGCGTAGGTCGGATCGATCGCGGATAAAAGTGAAAGGACACCCCAAGGGGCGGCCGAGAGGACTATCAAATCGTGCATCTAGTCCGCCGACTCGAGATCGTCTGTTGGAGAATAAGCCGAGTGTCAAAATCGAGATTTGTCCCGAAAGACCGATCCGTATCGGGAACATCGTCTCAAAGATCAAAACATGGACATTTCATTTCCCAGATGTGGAACCGAAAGATTTTCCCAATTTTCCAACTAAAGCCAATTAAGAAAAGATTTTACATTTCAATATCCAAATATTATCTACTTAAAATATTTAATATTATATATATATATATATATATAATATTAATGCATATATAATATATAATATAAATTGCACAGCCGAGAAATGTTGCAGAAAATGAAGACATAAGCAGCTTTTATTATAGTCTGAGGATCAAATAAATTTACTGATATATATATACATACATATACATATAAATTCACTTGCTTATGTCTTATTATATATTCAAATAACAATGATAAAAAAATTGAATTTTTTTTTTTGATATGTTGCATCTTACATAATCTTAAACGATTTGAATGATTAACGTAATAAACTTAATATTCATGTTCCTTTACTACCTAAAACAGACGCATAATTGTTTGCATATTAGTGAAATAATATAATATAATTTACTTGATGAGAACTTTTCAACAAGAGCTTTACGAGCATTTTCAAATCGGAAATGATATCTGCTACAATTGCAAACCGCTCAACTAGGTCAGCTCCGTAATTTTTGACATATATGTAGATGGATATAATCCGTTTAGCCATTTCGTCAATAAAGGTATCCACATATTTTTAAATCTCTACATGAAATATAGAGATATCCAAAGTACATAATATCTCAAATTTCGAATTCGCTCGTTACACTTTTCATAAATTAAGATGTAACAAGCAGGGAATATATATATATATATATATACATACACACTTGAGTAGAATTATATATATTATGCTGTGCCCTAAAAAAATTATATTATGTATATTCTATTATCTCTACACACTATCGCAGTTACATGTGCTGGATATCATTCGTCGGATAGAATTCGTTTTGTAATAAAAGCGTTGACAAGTTTGTTTTAAATCGATATATAGCTAATACAATTTTAATGCATTTAAAAAGTTGTGTACATTAATTCTTATGGATTTTAATGATAAAAATAGGATTAAGCAAATACAACATAGAAGTAAACGTGACGATAAAAAAAATAGAAAATAAAGACATTTTCTGAAAGTATTCAGGTTAAAAGTTTTAATTATGACGAGACAGAGGAATAAATATCAAAAACTGACAATACTGAAATCTTCATATAATATGAAAACGGCAAACTTAACCCCAGTTTCATTCTGTTTCACGTCAACATGTAAATGAGATGATCAGCATTTTCTCCCCCTCTCGATTAATAATAATTATTCGCCGCGATTGAGAATTTGATTATTCACAAATGGTGTACGAAAAAAAATCTTGTTAAAATATTTCCCTCCGAGAGCATAATATGAGTGTTTGTAGCAATGATGCAAAAATTTCCTGGCGCGAACCTTATCACGCAGCTCTTAAAACAAATCACGCAACCATTGTCAAGGTTTATAGTAAACCACGTGAAGAATCGGCCGCTCTTAAGAAAATATGTCCTGATTCAACTGGGACGTTTTTATTATTGGTGCGAAGACAAATTAGCACAGCAAAGAATTCCAGCTATAGCAAAAAAAAAGCGTGTTGATGACATTCGCACAATGGAGCTAGGAACGACATTATTAATGGAGGTATAATAAATACATATAACGATCGTGAAATCTTTGCGTACGTCACACATATATTAATCTTATAGATTAATTTTTTAACAATTTTTTTCGCAAAATAAAACTCAGATTTAATCTTTAAGATATTAGTCTTTGGTCTTTTGTGGAGCGTACTCATATACGAAACACGTAAAGCTGTAGAGAGATCGCGCATCGCTGAACAGCTAAGAATTCAAGACTTCAACGACTTAGAAGCAGAAAAGGATCGGCTGATGCGGCGAGTCAAAGATCAAGTGATCTTGACGAAACAGCTCAAAGATATCATCGTGGAGTATTCGAGACAAGTCGGGTGTACGTTACTTCGTGATCCGGAAAAGGGCGAATAAAATACTCCGTCTGATTTGAAGAAGAAGTAGTAGAAAAATCTCAATCATAAAAAAAAATATTGAAGAATATATATCCACACATGGGCATGTTAAAGTATCGCATTTTCGTATAACGACGAGTCTCGCAATCGGAAAGAATTATCCTCCATCACCCGGTATAATCCCCTTTTCCGAATAAATTGACCGCGTTACGTTCTCGGTGAACCACAAATTGACGAGCGGTCCGCGCTCATCTCATGAGAAACGCAGACTCCGCCAACATGCGACGGTTCAAACTTTGCACGGATATTCTTCCGTTACCGCCTGTCTATCACATTCTGGTTAACATTAGCATTCGTTTGCATAACGAACGTTATTTCCGCGCCCGTCCCGCTGCATCTGACTCGCTGCGACGGATTTCACAGCTTGAGAGCGAAATCCAGGCTTTCAGCGTAAAAATCGACAACGAAGGAAAAAATGTCATTAAAAGACAGGTGGTATGGAAAGTGCACAAATCACGTTGATTCGACAAGCGAAAAGTAGATTATCATTCAAAAAATACACTTAATTCCTTCGTGCTCGTATCATAATAATAGTGGAAAATTTATGTTCGAATAATTGAGGTTCTGTGATATAACATGAAGAGAACACACATTGCTGAATAAAAATTAAATAATAAAAAGATAATCATGTGTAAGATTAAATCTTCAAAAACAAATCATTGGAAAACAAATCAATTATAAATTTATTGAGAAATCTAATTAAAAGCAAGATCTATTACTTTCTACAAACAAATAAAGTCGTAAATAGTTTGTAGCATGAAATAGCAAAAGCATAAAATAACCGATGACGATTCGCAAAAAGGAATGTTTCCGACAAAATATTTTTCGATTAAGAGTGCTCTGCACGCTGGGGAAATGGAACATTTCCTCGATTTCCTCTCCCAACAAGATCCAGTTCTTGATCGAAACAAGAAAGTCTTTGGCGTTCGGTCTCAGAATATCAACATATAATATAATACGAAGATTTATTTCGCTCTTTCGTACAAGCAAGCCTTATACACGCTCGTGGTGTTTACGCTTGAAAAAAAACATCATCCCCTTTAATTTTCTGAGCATTATCTAAATATTTACATCTTTATATTTAGTTCTAGATATTTGCATCAGTCATTGTAAATAAATATGGGAAATTGTTATAAAAGATATGTGCATAGTTTTTTTCTTTGAACAAAATAAAAAAATTATTCATATTTGTATATATTTATATAAGTACACCGACAAATTAAAACAAAATTATTCCTCTCTTTAATCCTCATTACTAAAATTATCTCAGAAATGTTCGCAATTTAAAACGAGGAAATATCTGTGCTAACTTTCTTCTTCGAATTATGTTGAATTATTTCGACATTCGAATTATTTATATTATTTATTTTGAATTATTATATACCAAATACTAGAAAAAAAAAGAAAAAAAAAACAGAATAAATGTCATATACACGACG